AGTAGCAGGTCATAAACTTATGGAGGCATTTTAGAGGTCAAGGTGGGTCATGCTGGCATACAACTAGCATTTAGTGATAGCCGCCAGGTATCCAAGACACCTTGCAACATCTGAGCCAGTCCTTCACAGTGCAAGATTTTTCTAGATCCCAAGTGATACTACATACCCCTACCCATCTTCATTTGTAGCTATGCATCGATAGTAATTTTACATACAAGTCCTAGCATCTACCTCCTTCATTATGACCTCTGGTGTAGTTGTACCATGCAGTTATCTATTGAAACATATTTTTTATAATTCACTTCATTTCTCCATTTTTTCATTATTTTGATTTTAAATTTAAATTAGAGTTAGGTTATATTTATGAAGTTCATTTCATGATAATAAAAGGGGTGTTAGAAAGATTTGTTAATAAAAGTGTGTTGGGTCTGAATTTATAAGATTTGAAGTGAAATAACGTTTAGAGATGGCTTACCGCAGCTTTCTAGCTTTCCAATGAAGAAAATTAAGGTCCAAAGAAATAAAGTATATTGCAAAAAGTGTAATTATTAGTTAAAAGATAACTCAAGTTTCAAGATTCTAATTCCAGGGTTCTTGGGTATTCTTTAAGAATCTGTACATCCTAAATAAATTAATATTCTTTAAACTTCAAATTCTCATCCAATCCTGAGATTGTATGCCAGCAAAATCACTGCCCTTCCCTTGCACCCTGCCATCTCCCTGCCCCATCATCCCTCCTTCCACCACTGGAGAAAGTGATTATGAAAGTGACATTTTAGATGATCTCAACAGACAAGCATTCCTGGGAGTAGTACTGAGGGAGGAACTCTGATGAAGAAGGTTAATGCCAACAACTGTCTCTGACTTTCTCCTTTGCGTTTCTGTTTTTTCTAGTCTAGTTCCGTAAGTGACCTTTGTACCCAAGGATAATTCTGTCCACCCCTCACCTCCACTTCTGGAACATTCTGCACTCCTTGATCTCAACAAAGTTCTGAAGAAACTAATTTTATTGTCGCTTCAGTTACAAAAAGGTTGATATAGGCCAAATTATGATTTTACTATTAATATAAGGGCAAAAACCTCTTCCCCCACCCCCCCCTTCTGTACCCAAAGCTGCCAAAGATGTTTATGCAGGTATGCCCTGCCCAACTCCAGAGGGTGCACCCCTGGAGTTATGAGGTTGGATATCTGCATGGCTGAATGCAGGGTCCCTGTTCCCACCTCCCTAAAATGGGAAATGAGTTCACAGTGTGAAGATTTCTGATCTTAACTTTGATGCACGTTTGGTTTAACACTGACTTAACTGGCATAGTTTATTCACTCTTTAAGTCTGAATTGCAATTTAGTCTCTTTGCCTGCCATGTGTTTAATGATGGAGGCTCAGTCACATTGTAAATTTGGGCCATATCACAGCAGCTCCCTCTTGATAGCCAGACACTTGGTGATTAGGGCTTTGAGACTCAATCCTGTTTCCTGTCTCTCCCTTTTGAGTGGTCCACACAACTGCTGTTTCCTGCTCAAGGCTGTCCCAAGCATGTCAGCACGTTCGAGGAGTGGGGAAGGACATCTTGAGCCCAATAACTGATGAAGCTATAACTGATTCAAGCACGCAGTTGAAGCAGAAGCTCAGAGTATCAATTTCACCTGGAGGTTTTAAGCATGAGCTTTTAAGTCTGATAGACCCGGATGCCTTCTAGCTCTGGTGGTTTATGCAAATAACCTGCAAACTTTAAACTTGTGAAGTCTGTAAACTTTAGTTTCCCATCAGTAAAATTATCAACAGTAGCGCTAACCTCATGGGGTTACCAGAAGTGTACACGAACAAATATAAGTAAAACCCGGCACATATTAAGTGCTCAAGAGATGTTAGCTGTTGCTGTGATTCTCCTTTCCCAGAGCAAAGGTCTCCTAACATTACAGTTCTATAGTACAAAAACAACAAGACAACAACAAAAAACAGGATAAAAATTTAAAAATATAAACTCTAGTAAAGGAAAAGGTGTGTCCCTTAGAAGGGGCAATTTCATCTTCACCGAGAACTGTAAAAATAATCACAGCAGGCATTTGATACATTCTGTCCCGCCCCCCCTCCCCTGGCCTTTTTAAATTCTCAGAGTGCTCTTCCATACAGCAGCCCAGTAAGTAAGCATTTCTTTATTCTCATTTTTCAGAAAACACTGAGGCTCAGGGAGGTTGACATCCTTCTGTGGCAGAATCTAAGACTAGAATGCTGGCATTGAAAGTTGCTGGGCGGGGTTTCATTTCACAGGATGTACCATTAGTAGAGGCAGTCAGTCTCCACTAGGGGGCCCATGTCACGTAATGGGGGTCATATTGGCTGAGGCTGAGGGATGAAACTAGTCTCCAACCGCTCCCTCAAAAAACAAACCAAAAAAAGCAATCTAAATAGAAAACAGTGTCTTTGCCAGATAAATATATCTTTAATACATCTCCCTTAGCCCTCTGGTCCAACTAGATTACATCAGCAAAGACTTTCCTATGTAGAAATTCTGAAATCAAGATGGCATTTCAGTGCAATAGCAAGTAGATAGGTGATTTTATTTTATTAAACTTTTTTCAAGATTTTTTTTTTTGATGTGGACCATTTTTAGTCTTTATTGAAGTTGCTACAATATTGCTGCTGTTTTATGTTTTGGTTTTTTGGCTGTGAGGCATGTGGGATCTTACCTCCTAGACCAGGGATTGAACCTGCACACCCTGCATTGGAAGGCCAAGTCTTAACCACTGGACCGCCAGCTAAGTCCCGATAGGTGATTTTAAAAAGCCCTTCCTGTGGTTCTGAAAAGTCCCTTCAGCTGGGAATCCCTGTACTAGGCCAAGCTACAAAAGAGAGGTTGTGTGCTATTTGATTTGATGATACATGATCATTCCCACCTCATTTCGGTCCAATACTCTCAGAAGAAGAGACACTGTTTTTGGGGTGGGGGGGTGGGGGGGGAGAGGGTTTCTTGCTTATCTTAATAGCAGTCAATTTCTGAAAACTCAGGCTTGGAATAAGACTGCTGCCCGAAGCCCAGGTGGGTAGTGTTAGGGAAGCCCATAGGTCTGCCCCTAGAGGTCCTGCCTGGAACACACAACAATCCATTGTAAGAACGTTACCTTCAGAGATTTTTACAAAGCTCACGTTTCAGTTGCTGCACCAATAAAGTCAGACAACTGCTTGACTTTTTTTTCTTTGTCTAAGTTTATTTTAAACTGTAGCGAGTCACATTTTCTTCCTCTTTTGGGGTGAGAGATTTTTTTGTTTTGTTTTGTTTTTTTTACTTCTTTGCCAAATCACTATTCATTAAAGTGAAACTGAGGAGAAGAGACATAATGTAAGGCAGTGCCTGAAATAGAAGTGACCTGCCTTTGTGCCCCCTGATATTTTGCAGTAAATATTACAAGCCAAGCAGGTGTCCAGCCGTTTATAGTCCAAACTACACTTGCTCCAGATTCCACCTGCCCCTTGTCACAGAAGCCAACACACACCTGAATCAAGAAAACTTTTTTTGTTTACTTATGTTAACCATAAAGCCAAAGCAAATAGCCTTCCACTTTCTGGATCCTGGGTAGCAATCAAATATGAAGACATCACAAATCCTCTAGACAAATATGGGGGGCAGGGAAACGTGTATTCTAGGCCAGGAGGTGGGCCATGTACCAAAGAGTTGCATCAGCTGTTACAGGGAACAGCTGGTTTCCCAACTTCGAACTTTCTGGGTTTCACACACCAGCACCACAACTGATGAGCAGGAAATTGACTTAAGTTCTTAACTTAGGACTTAAATCAACCACCTGGTTTACAAGGTCTCAGTTGAAACATTGTTTCAATGGCCATGGGTTCATTTATTCGTTGACTCAGCAAGCATGTCACGGAGCTCAAGGGAGATGACCCATAACTAAATCAAAGACCCCAGATAACTCAATCTACACCAGGGAAAAGCTGGATAAATAGATATTTCCATGACATTAGTGCTGAAAGAGCTATGTACAAAGCAAGCTAAGGGGCAGAGTGGCAGGCATCAAGTGAAAAATGCAGCTGTAGTGGGAAAGGAGAATGCATCATCCCCTCACCACTGCCCTTCCGCCCCACGTAACATCCCACAGTCACAAAAGGGCACAAAACGGTGCTACCTATTCTGCTCACATTCGGTAACTAGGAGAATGGGGACATAAGATCTCAAGAGAGTAGTTTCTAAGACACCTCACACGCAGGGGAAACTGTTTACAAATGCAAAGTTGTCTCCACATCACTCCAAGGGGATGGAGGGGAAACACTGGGGGAAGATGCAGGCAGAAACACCACTTCACCAGCCCTCCACCGGAGCAACCTGGAATCCAGAGGGACCGGCCAAACACCTGGCAGCAGAAGTGAACTTTGGCATAAAACTGCACCTCACTTCCCAGCCCTGGGCACAGCTCCCGAGCCAGAAGCCCAGTTTCCAATTTGAAAGGAGGGAAGTCGGTAAGGGTGGTGGGAGTTCTAGCATTCACACGTTGCCACCCCTCTCTGGCCCCTTTGAGATTCAACCCTTTTTTTAGCTGGGCAGCCCAGGCTCCTGAGAAGAAAACTGTGCCAAAGCAGAAAACTGTCAGAGTTGCTATTACTCAGTGAGCTCGCTTCGGAACGCGGGCGCGTACACTTCATTGCCAGTTTCACTTCCAGCCCCTATACTACACAAGGATTTTGCGCGGATAAAAAATGAGACAACATCACTACGCCTCCGACCCGGTGCTCGGCACAGAGTAGGAGCTCAAGAAACCCTGCTCGCCTAGCCCTTTTCTACACCCCTGACAGATCAACGCCTGGGACGACCCTAGGGAGGGAACAAGTTGCCCCGAGGTGGGCAAAAGTTGTCAAAACTCCGCCAGCCGCGCGCTGCGGCCCCCTGGTGGGTGACAGCAAGCGGGTGGGTGTGAGGACGCGGCTGCGGTGGGGGCGGGGGGGGGGCATGCGCTGCGCATCCCGAGCGGCCTGCCCGGCGTTAACCCCTCACCTTCCAGCAGCACTTCCTTGCCAGCGCGCTTCAGCGCCTGCACCGCCTCGTCGTGCGTGGCGTCCCGCAGGTCGGCCCCGTTTACGGACAGGATGGCGTCCCCTACGTACAGGGCTTGAGTTTGGTCCGCCGCCAGCCCCTTGAAGATCTTGCTGATGAGGATGGGCATCTTGTTCTCCTTGCCCCCCTTGATGCTGATGCCCAGCCCGCCCAGCTCCTGCTTCAGCACCTTCACGCCACGCTTCTGGTTCGAGATGGACTCGGGGACCTGTTCGGGCAGGTCAGTGAAGGCGGTGCGGACCCCGGCGGGCGAGTCCGGGGGCTGCGCGCCGCCCGCGCCCGGGTGCCCCGCGCCGGCGCCCCTGCAGAACGAGCCATTGGTGGCGGTCCCGATGCCGTTGTACGCCGCAGCGCCCTCCTCGCAGCTCAGAACCAGGGCGTCCTCGCTCAAGTTCACCAGAACTTTGTGCCAGCGATCCCGCACCAAAACTTCCAGCAGCCCGCTCCGCTGCGCTCGGCCGCCTCCCCCGCCGGCCGGCCCGGCCGCCGCTGCCGCCGCCGCCGCTACCGCCATCTTTCCGGCATTCTTAAAATGCCATGTGATTGCAAAAGGGGGGAAAAGTGGGGAAGGGTTGCGGGGGGAGCGAGGAGAGCGCGCCCCGCAGGGAGGAGGCGGGACGCGGGACTCCACTCCGGGACTTCGCCAAAGCGCCCGGCGCGAGTTGGCAACCGCGGTGCGGCCGGTTCCCCCTGGCCTGATCCTGGGCGGGGTGGAGCAACCTAAAAGAAGGAGAGACAGAAACAGGAAAGGGGAAAAAAACAGCTGCCAGTGGCAAAACCCTAAACCGAGGGGAAGCCGCGTAACGGCTAAGCGCCGGCGCGGGTCGGTAGGGGGAGCCGCTCCCGGGGAAGGGCGGGGGCCCAGCGCCGGGCGGCCGCTCACCTGTTCCAGCCGCCGCAGCCTCGGCGGTCACACGCCGCGCGCCCGCTCGACCCTCCCCGCCTCCCTCCTCCGAGCGCACGTCGTCTCAGGGACAGCTTCCCCTCCACCCCGCCCCAGGCGTCTCTTCTCCACTCGCCCTTCTCCGCGGGCGCCCACACCGCACCTTGGCGTGGTCTGTGTGTCCTGCGTTGGTCCCCTCCCTGGATGCTTCCAAGCCCCCTCCCCTTTCACACCCTCTGTTGAATCGCCTCTCAGTCCTAACCCCCAGGGGTGTCTAGATTCTCTCTCTGGCTTCCTCAAAGCAAGTCTTGGCTTCTCCTGCTGAGTTCTTACCTATCTCTCCTTTCCGCAGGGACTGTCAGGTAGACTCAGGCAGAGGCCCTGGGTTCCCTGAGAGTCACGAGGGAAGGCTGTCCCAAGACCCCAAAATGAAACGTCAGCATAACCCGGGTGCGGGAAACTTCTTTTTAAATGCAGGACATTTTTCTGCCGGGGCTCTGGAGAGGTGTCTTTGCTGGCTGGGGTTTTCAGCAGGTCGCTGCCTGCCCCAGACCCCAGAGACAGATGTTCTTCCATTTCTAGCACATTATATGCTCTCTGCTTCTGACTATCTTTTTTTTTTCCCCCAGTGCCACCTAAATGCTTCCTGTGACATTCTCTTTCTTCCCAAGATCCAATATAGAAAGTCCACCATTTAAGAACTCAGTTGCAATGGACTGTCTCTCAAAAGCTCCTTTACGAGTGACATAGGTGGAGCTCTAGCTGCATTTTTCCTGGGAAATGATATTATAATCATTGGTTACCTTCCCAGGCCAATGCGGAAATGCCAACATAACCCATGTCTTAGATGAACCTCCCAGAACCCTCCTGGTCCTTGAACCTCTCAAGTTCTCCCCGACCCTAAGCAGGTCTCATGGAACTCTGGAAGTGTTTCACACTTCTCCTTTCCCTCCTTTTCCCTCCTCTCTCTGCCCTCTCTCCAAAAACCAAAACAAAATTTACAAATCTGAGAATTCCTAAAGGTAAACCCAACCCAGCAAGGTGTCAGGAGGAAAGAAATCTATTGAACACATTCCCACTGATGTGTATTATCATTGGAAGTTCTCTAACCCTTCCAGAATGACTCACACTTTTAATTGAGACTGTTTAAAAACCCAGACCCATCCGCAGAGATCGGGTGGTTGGTATTCCAGGCAGGGTCCCAGAATGGAATGGAAACATTTGCATTTTGTTTTTTGTTTTCTTTTTTTTTTTTTGAGGAAAAGAAGTCACTGCAGGTAGGTCAAGGGGAACGCTTAGATTTATACTTCTGCTTGTAGCATCCTTATTTCCTATATTTCTAACCCACCAGTGTTCCAAAAGCTGTTTATTCTTTCATGTAAAGGTACCCACGGCCGGGACAGCACAGGCGGCTCTACCGTTGGGTGGGAAAACCGTCTGGGGGCTGCCCTCTGCTTTAAAGGCTGAGGACTCACACACGTCGCTCTTCAGGAGCCTGAGTGCTGCCAAACGCACTGAGGTGGAGATAGGCACCAGGATGCCAGTGTGATGATTTAGAAATCAAAACAGATCGCCCTTGGACTGAAATCCTCCATTCACATCACACCTGTATCTTGCCTCTGTGGTCAAGCGATGTCAGAGGCCCAGGCATAACTAGAAGTAATGTATCAGTTTGCCATAAGAAATTGCAAGCTCTGGGATGGGAATTTCTCAGAATCTCTGTGATAAGCACTTTTTTTCCGGGTAAGCAACCCTACATGGGAAGGAGTAGGTTGCTTGTTGAAAGTGGCATCAGAAGAAGAGCATATATTCAATATCATTAGGCCTGAGGCATACATGTCAGCCAGAGATGCCTTCACCAATGGAATCAGAATAATAGCCCCTATTCTAAGTGCTTTATACATGTTCACTTAATCCTCCCAGTAATTCTTGGGGATACTCACTATTATCATCTCTCCTATTTCACAGGTGGAAAAGCGGAGGTACAGATTGTGAAACTTGTTCTGGTCCTGTAGCTAATAAATGGCAGAGTCAGGATACAAACCCAGGTATGAAGAATTTGGACTCTTAATCATTGTCCTACACTCTCCTAAAAATGCTCAGAACCTGTCAGCCCCAGTGTTCACCTTGGACTGAGGCCAGCCTTTCCACTGGGAGGAAAGCCCTGAGGGTTAAGACCCTTCCCCTAGATATGTGTAGAAAGGTGCAGCCAGCCTTGTCTCTCTGGCCTCTCCTGCTTTCCAAAGTTAGAGCACACCCGGCCCTTCCAGAATTGACACCTTCTTTTCTTTAGACATGTTAGTAAGTTGAAGCTGATGACTATTGTGTTCTTGCTGCCCTAAAAGCCCTTTCTTATCCCTCACACAGCTCTGCATATCTGACCCCTGAGCAGTAAGGCTGACCCTCAAAGGTAAACTTTACTTACCTCATTTCTTGGTTCTAGATGGGACTACTGCACCGCAGCCCTGTAATACTTACCATTAGGACAGATTATGTTCTCTTAGGTCTCCCCTTTTGAAGAATGGTCACTGGACAGGTCTAAAAAGACTACTAGCTTCCTCACTTTATGCGTGTGGCCTTTGAAGCTCAGAGAAGAGCAGTGACAAATCCAAGGCCACGTGGTGGGTTTGTGACAAAGACACAACTGGGTTATGAATCCCAGTCCAACTTGAGCATTCCAGATATTACAGCTGAAGTCCCCTCCTCCTTTTTTTAACCAGATTTCTTTTACTTAGCTCTGTCTCCAGTTCTGTTTCCTCCTTCTGTCCTAAACCTTTGACTTCCATTTCCACCCAGCCCAAAGTGGGATCTTCCCATGGGTGCCCCTTTGCTGTGGGAGGTGCATTTTCCTGCAGATGTTTGGGTGGACTTAGGCTTGCAAAAACAGGCCACGAAATCCTCAGCAGCACAGAGCAGAGGATAGTGATGGAGCAGTAGCAAGAAGGGGCAGTGTTCCTCCCTCATTCCACAAAGTTTGGTGGTGCATCTGTCCTGTCCCAGGCACTGTTCTAGGTGCTGTGAAATGTGAGCAGACAAATGGTAGGATGTGCCCTATGAGGCTTACATCATAGTGGGCGGTAGGGTGGAGGTGGAGAAAGACTACAAACATAAGATACTTTCACGGAGAAGTAAATACCAGGAAGAAAATAAAACAGAGCAACAGGGTCTAGAGTGACTAGGGGCAAGGGGCATCTGTGGGTGGCCACTGTTAAGGAAAGCCTTTGTGAGGAGGTGACTTTTCCCTGAGACATGGATGGTAAGAAGAGGGGAATCTTGCAAAGATCTAGGGAAGAGGGTCCCAGTGAGAGGGAAAGGCCAGAGCAAAGCACCTGAGATAGAACTAAGCTTGCCTCGTTCAAGAGACCAAAGGAGGCCAGCATGGCTGGAGCAGCCCCTGGGAGGAAGAGAGAGACCAGAAGGGAGATCAGAGAGATAGACTGGGCCAGACCACAAAGGAGGGCCTTGGAGGATTACAGCACAATCCATTCTCCTTGTCCTCTTTGAGCCTCAACCATCATACATTTTGGATTGTCAGGAACTGTCTTAATTACAACTACAGTTGGCCCTCTGTATCAGCAGTTGGGTTAAATCCGTGGATGCGGAACTTGCAGTATGGAAAGCCGACTGCTCTATGCCATTTAATATAAGGGACTTAAGCATCCTCAAATTTGGGTATCCTTTGGGGTTCTGAAACCAATCCCCCTCAGATAGCGAGAGACTGTATTACTTCCTAATACCTACTGAGTCAATTTTTACTGGTTAGAACACATGCTCCAGTGTTTAGGTTTGGAAAATAGGATCATTGTACTTTTGATGCTGTTTCCTGAAGATAGGTTGAGCATCTTTAGTGGGATTTATCCAATTACAGAATGGAGTTTGGATATAAGGTATTCACCTTGTGAAGAAGAGGAGGCAGAAAGCTCCTTGATATCTGGGGGGAAATTAGAGAACAGAATGAGAGAGGGGCAGGAGGGTGCTTGAAATGCAGAGCTCCTAAGCTGAGGCCTACCTGCGTACGTATGTGTTGACCAAATGCTTACTGAGTACCTGCTCTTATAAAACACTGAGGAAGGTGCTGGAGACAGGCACACCCAAGGATGCAAAGATAATTAAGACAGCAAGACAGACATGTACATAAAGAGCTCATGGGGAGAATGAGATGGCTGCAGTACTGAGTGTGAAATGAATGGAAGCAGTCAGATTCCAGATTCTGAATCATAATTCTGGTTAGTGACTCTTATTTTATTTCTTCTTCTCACTATTGAAACTAAAACTGTACAACTCAGACTGGGACTTGAACTCCCAGTCTTTCAACTGAGATCACACACCTGGTCTCAGGACTTAATGAAGCTCAGGTTCTTGATGTCTCATCACAGAAAGAATTCAGTGAGAGACAAAGTGATAGGTAAGAAGTGGATTTATTTAGAGAGAAACACACTCCACAGACAGTGTGTGGGCCATCTCAGAAGGTGAGAGCAGCCCCAGGGTATGGGGTTGTCAGTTTTTATAGGGGTGGGTAATTTTGTAGACTAATGAGTGGGAGGAGTATTCTAGCTATTTTGCATAAGGGGTGGGGATTCCCAGGAATTGGGCCACTGCCCACTTTTTGACCTTTATGGTGGGCCTTGGAACTGTCATGGCACCTGTGGGTGTGTCATTTAGAGTGCTGATGTGTTACAGCGAGTGTATACTGGGACTCAAGGTCTGGTGGAAGTTGACTCATCCACCATCTTGGACCTATTTGGTTGTAATCAGTTTATGTCGTGTCCTCAGGCTATGTCATTCCTTTAAAGGCTGTGCCCTGCCCCTTTCC